AAATTATTGGATTTGAATGACCTGATTTGTGTTTTCACTTGTGTTAAGACTTATAATAACTTATTTCATAATGATTTATTCACTCCAGATACCCTAAAATATGGATTATCATCATTTAATTGGTATTTTTCGTTTCGGACGTTACATTTGTTTTGGACGTTACAACTGTTAACGGAAAATTGGTTTTAACTATAAAATAGTATTGTAGTAATATATTGCAAATTTCTTTTGTTTGGTGGGTAGCCGACATGAAATGTTTAAAAAACGTTACAATAGATGGGTCCTGCAGTTCATATATTTTCTGCTATTTCAAATTGGAAATTGTTTCGGACGTTACAAAAATGTTCCGGACGTTACAAAATTGTTTACATAAAATGAGACAACTTTTTCAAATTTTGAGTATATTTCTAATATAAGCGCTACTATAATCAAATTATATTTTCTTTTAATTTAATGACATGGAGTAACTAATAAGCTTATTCAAACCATATACAATCTCATTAATTTATTGTTCTAGTGGGTTAAATGGGGGTCTACATTGTTTACGGAAAATGTAACGTCCGAAACACCATTTTCAATTGCACTGTTCCATCAAAATACAAGAGTTAATTCAGATTACTGTTAACTTTCTTTAAGATCCACCCATGCTTATCAATCAATAGAAAAAAACATATTGTTTGTGGCTATATATTTTTTTTTGGCTCCAACCAAAAAAGGAAGTCAATTTTGTTACAAAATTCCGTAAACAATTTGCTGTTCAGGGATACCTCATGCACATAAAGCAACGTTGAAATTTTTTTATTAAGCTATGGGAGGTCAATCTAGGACCATGCTACAAGCAAAAGTTGTAACTGATTTCAAATTCTTTATCTTTGTAAAATTACAGGCTCTCAAAGGGCCATTTAGCTATTTGGTCATAGTTAAAAAAAACCAGTGCCACATCTGAATCCGAGTACAGTGTGACCGGGTCCATCTCAAAACCAGCTGGAAAACGGGCAGAGCTAGGCGCTAAGCCATCGCCTGAACAGGGTGATAAATTTGATGCAAAACATTGGGCGTCTGTCGGAACCACTGTTAACCCCAGTTGCCCAAGCGAATGAATTATCAAACCCCGCAGTCGACTCCTCGCCCGGAGGAGCTCCGAGAGAAGCAGAAGCTGCAGATTGAACCCTATCTCACGAGCCGACAGGCCGGGGTGTCGATACACTCGAAATGTATGAATCTGATCCAGTGTCAGTGTGACCGTGTCCTCAATGCCACCCACGAAACAGGTAAAGGCAGGTGCCGGGCCATCACCTGTATAGGGCGAAAAATTTGACGCCAAATTTGTGCGCCTTCGGGACCACTGGAACCCCCAGTTGCCTAAACATTTGTTCCATCAAACCCTTAAGCTCCGCTTGAGCGGTAGCAGAGAAGGCAGTCTTTGGCGTAGATTTCTTCTTCGCCTTTTTAGCCCCTGTCCCAGCCGAGGCATGGGTGGATGAGCTCTTTCACTTCTTACCCGATGAAACGGGTGCGGAAGCGAGCTTCACGGCCTTGCTAGAGCTTCAGCTTTAGCTTTACGGGTGGTATGACTAGGGCACGGGCCCTTCCGCTTCTTACCCATAGAAACGGGGGAAGAAGCGAGCTCCACAGCCTTACTAGAGCTTTAGCTTTACGGGCGGTGTGACCAGGGCCTCGAGCCCTTCCGCTTCTTATCCGTAGATACGTGGGACAAAGCGAGGTCCACGGCCTTACTAGAGCTTTAGTTTTAGCTTTACAGGCAGTGTGACCTGGGCCTTGAGCCCTTCCGCTTTTTACCCATAGAAACAGTGGACGAAGCGAGCTCCACGGCCTTACTAGAGCTTTAGCTTTAGTTTTACGGGCGGTGTGACCAGGGCCTCGAGCCCTTCCGCTTCTTACCCGTAGCTACGGGGAGTGAAGTGAGCTTCACGGCCTTACTAGAGCTGTAGTTCTGGCTTTACAGGCAGTGTAACCAGGGCCTAGAGCTCTTCCGCTTTTCACCCGTGGTTCCTGGGGGGGACGGGATCACGTCCCCCCACAAATTTTCAGGTGGTGAAATGTCCCCCCCCCCCCCCCCACGATTTGGGGTTAAAATCTGTTTTTTCTCCGCGCAGGAGGGGGGGGGGGGAACTGAATTCAGACAAGGATTAAGAGTTGTGAACGGTACAACGAAACGTTTTCGTTCTTTAATAATTTAATGAAACGTCGAAGCTTCCGCAAAGAGCGGGATGGGGGGAAGTGAATTCAGATTTAAGAGTCGAGAACGGTACAACGGATCGTCTTCTTTCTCTGATAATTTAATAAAGTGTCAAAGCTTCCGGGCTTTGCGCGGGAGGGGGAAAACTGAAAAATAACTTAGTTCTTGGCCCCGGGTTTATAGGGTTAAATTTGTAGACATAGGGACATTGGCATTAATATATGTCGATTATTGGTGGCTCGTTTTGTCGGTTATCGGTGGCCTCTACACCCTCCCACCTCCCCCACTGAAAATGATCTAGCGACGCCCCTGAGAACAACACAGTTTATACACTCGAGATAGTTTTTGCAAGTACTACTGGTGAAGTACCGGACAACCGTCTTTTTGCATTGTGCGGCAACGAAGCATATACCACGTCTCACGACGTAACAGATCACTTTTCTCTAACTTCTAACCAATCAAAAGACCTCATTTTTTTTACAGGAAGTGCCGGTGGACATTAATGCGCAAAATGTGGGCCTCATATTGCAAAAGATTCCTACTCTTGGAGGGGGTAGGAGAAAGCAATTTTACGCCATATTACTCCAGGAAGTGCCTGAAAATGCATCTAATGTGGTTCTAAAATTGCAAAAAACCCACCCCCGCTTGGTCGCTCCGCTTTCTCGCCGCTAAAACCTCGCTCTGTCGCTTCATCCTTTTACAGATATTTCACCCAATGCCGTTTTGTGCCCCCGGTAAGAAATTCCTGGATCCGCCACTGATGCCCATACCCATTGAGCTTCGGGGGCTTTGCCCCTAGACCCCACTTTGAAAAAACGTTCAGCTAACATACGCTAAACGATCTATTTCCATCATGATTGCCGTGATTTTTATATAGTTTAGAAGTATAGAATAGAAGTATAAAATCAAAGTTTATTTTTGTGATTATTCTGGCCATGTTTACTGAATTTTGATAATCATTTTTCAAAGTAAAGTTTTCACAAGAAAATCTGAGAAAATCATTGTGACAGTTCAGTTGCACGCTGCCTTGAGACTATACACAGCGCTAACAGTACAGTGCCACTGCGGTAGGAACCGAGCGAGTCGAAGAGACTAGACTCTGCATGGAATAGATTCCAGCATAGCTAGCATAGCATAATTTGCATCCAGCCGCATCGTAATACTTTGAAATTGCTATCTGTTTCCATCATTATTGCCGCGATTTTCAATAAATGTTTCATGAAAAGAGAGGTATGAAATCAAAGCCTAGATTGTGATTATTTTGGCCATGTATACTGAATTTCGATGTTAATTTTCAAAGTAAAGTTTTCAAAGTTTGAGTGGGTACCAAATGTAGTATTCAAAGCAATTTTTTAAAATTTGGGTGTATTCAAAAAAGTTTGAACACATTCGGCTTAGGGATTATCAGAACAGCAGAGCATTCTTAACGCAAATTTTTTGCGCCTCATACAGCGCTGCCAACCTTTGGAAGTACAAATTAGTACTCAGCACCTCCAAAATTAGTATTTTACCATCAAAATTAATATTTTTCAACCAGCCTTCCTTTCACCTATTAAAAACCTATTGATGTCATAACGCACTCGCAGCGCAAATGCATACTGTAAAGACCATATTTTACTGATACATATGATGTGAAACACACCAAAGAACACAAAAAAATTAACCCAGAAGAAAGAAAGAGGATAAATACTGTTGCAAACTGTGGAATAAATCAGAAATACTAACACCAGAGATGCCAACTTTTGGAAATCAGAAATAGGCAGGATTTGAAAACGACACAAAATAATGTGCGCATAGTGCACATCTCGAGCACGGAGCGCCCGATTATGCGGCCGGGGTCCAGGGCCCGCCTTAGGGCCCTGGAAGCTCTGGGGTTCTAGATGCTCTCTGGTGCAATATGAGCCTTATTTTGGAGCATTTTACATGTGTATTTAGTTAAATAATTCCCATTAAAAAAAAAAATAACATACAAATTGTACAAAATGCATGATGAATACCTCTTTCAGACTTTAAAACAGATCTACAGCAGGTCTACTGGATACTGTATTCGGTCTTATACATATACATCTGAGACTATTACTTGGCCTTCTTTTGCTGATTTCGCTATTCCTTGTCAATATCCATGCATTGTTTGAAACTTTGAATCGTCCTTCCACCTCGCGACTCGACTATCTTCAACTCCAGTGCGGCGTCCGCCCACACATCGCACGGCCGGGACCGCCTGCCTAGTCTGCAGTGAAATCCCAGTAGGCATATCGCATGCAGCTGCAAAATGCAAGATGAATTTCTCTTTCAGACTTCCGAATACACAGGTACTGGATACTGTATTCGGTTTTATAGTACTTCTGTGAACATTTCTTGTTCTTCTTTTGCTGATTTCCCGCCATTCTGTGTCAATATCCACGCATTGGTTACGCCGAAATGGTCCTTCGATGGTCCACTGCGCGACTCAACTATCTTCAGCTCCTGCGGCCGCTCACACATCTTGGCGCCGGGACCGCCAAGCTGGTCTGCAGTGAAGTCCCGTTAGTCATATCGCATGCAGCTGCAAGGTATGCGCGCTGCTGAGCCAATCTTTTGCTGCTCCTTATTTTGTTTGCTTTTACGTGGAATTCGGAAGCAGAGAACATAGTTGAATTACTACATGCTAAAGTTAGCAGAAGATATTTCTCATGAATTCGGACTTTTGGAAGGCATTTTCGCATTTTCGTAACAAATACAAATTTTTCGTAACGGTTGGCAGCTCTGCTCATACATAACTGATCTCAGTCATCATTTCCATGGTCTGTAAGTAACATACCGTGATTGGATCATTGAAAGGCTCAATGATCTCTGCATAACGGAGGAAGACATTCCCTCTTGAGACTCTCCAAAGCATCTGCTCAAATGCTGGAACCCGCTCCCTCTCGATTACTCCCGCGATGAAACTGTAAAATTAAATGTGAAAATGTGAAACTCAATAGAGGAAGACTTTCCCCTGATCGAGGCATATACTATTAAGCTGGTACCTGTGAACTTTAAAATAACATTCTTCAGTCTTTTTCACACAAAATTTGATGAATAAACCTTCAAAAACTGTGAGAGTGAATTCATATGACTTTGTGATCATGCTGCGGACTGTTTTTTATTTAAATCTCGAAAAATGGTCTTGCAAGTATTGTGAATAAAGTGTGTCAACTAAGCCTAGCAGCACCTCTTGATACTCCTTGGTTTAAATGCATTGAGGAAGTCATTATTTGTACAGAAAACACAAATTAAAAATTCTCAATATGTAAATGCTCACCTGTTGCCCTTTCATTTTGACCTTTTGATTTACTTTTTGTAAATAGACCATTTTCGTAATGTAACCAAACTTAATGCACAAGCCTTTGTGAAGTGCCTCAATACAAATTATTTCATTCACCTGATAAGAATAATAGTAATTCAATAGTCAGAATGCAAACTGCATATATCAAGTGTTGCTAGGTAGGTCAAGCCATAATGTTTGTCCAACCTGGCAACAACTAATGTATGCAGTTTGGATTCTGTCTATTGAAATACTATTATTCTTACCAGGTAAATGAAATAATTTGTATTGAGGCACTTCACAAAGACTTGTGCATCGAATTTGGTTACATTACGAAAATGGCCTATTGCAACACAATCTCAAAATCAATTCCTTTCAGTTCCCAAAAATTAGCAAGTCTCCAGTTGCATGATATGGAAATATATACAGCACAAACAAAAATCTTACACAAGTCAACGCAAAGCGTAGCATCCCCTCACAGGGTACAAATGGCCTATATACGTCAGAACAAGTTACCTCCATTGGACTTTACTATTATATTACTAGGCAAGGAAGTTAACCACATTTTCACATATATAATTAGGTGTTGTTGCATATTTAATGAGCTATGACCTTTCACCTTTGACCTACATACTTGGACATTGAACTTAGGCTGTGTTTTGATACCATGAACTTTCATATCAAATTCATTAAAATCTGTCAAACATTACTAAACTTATCGATCGAAAACCAGATTAGAATATTTATTGAGCTATGACCTTTGACCTGTGACCTACGTACTCCAAAATCGAACTTAGCCTGTGTTTTGATATCATGTACTTTCATATCAAATTTCATTAAAATCCGTCAAACATGACTGAAGTTATCGATCTTACACCAAATTTGTTATTTCACTTCTTCCGTCATTTTAGAGCAACAAGTCATCAATTAACAGCTAGCAAACGGTTTACGATACGTACAGTGCATGCAGTATGGTGGTGTGACCATATAGTTCGCGAGTGACCAAAGTTCGCGTACTAACACTATAAGCGCTTAAAGAGGAGAGCAGTACGCAACATATACAATTCAAGTGCGCTGCACTGTGTAGATACTACTACTATCTACACAGTGCATCAAACTTTTCTTCTCCCATCAATGAAGGGCTAACTATCTTTCATCACATGATTTACTTTTGACCAATCGTAGAGCAAGATTCTTAGTATGTGGAATAGTGCTGTAACATCACAGATATCTCCAATTCCGTTTAACCGCCAGGCAAAACCGGACGGTTTTCGGTTAGACGATTTTAAAAAAAATTATTAAAATTAAAAAAAATAAAAATATAAAAAAAAAAAGTTTTTTTTTTTGACCGAGCGGGAAGGAATTTTATTTAACTGCAAGTTGCATTTGAAGGCGCCGATTTGTGCTTGTGAACTTGTCAAAAATAATAGTAACAGTGTCGTTTTTAGAAGAATGTGTAAGATCATTAATGTAAATTAAAAACAGTAGAGGACCTAGGATAGCACCTTGTGGTACGCAGTGTGTAAAAGTTGGATAAATTATTATCATAAACTACATATTGAGATCTATTACAAAGATTACTTTCAAACCAAGATGACAGACAAATTGGGGAGTTGTTCTAGTTTTAGAGTGGTGAGTTAACATAACTCATTAGATTTTGCTTATTTTTATCCTTGTTATGTTTTTGTATTGAACCACATTATCAACAATATTTTTTTTTGGTTGGGATCAACCAATAATTTTTTTTTTTACTACAAACTAGCGGAATGAATCATATTGAACTAGAAATATCGCAATCTGTATTGCCATGCAATGCGAATGTATCCCCGGCAGTTGCAGCGATGTAGAGAGTGCCACTAGTGGCTCGGACTATTATCAAGATTAGGAGCAGCATCACCAAACACTTAATATTTGAAAGAAATCCGTCAAGAAATGTGGCGGTTAATAAACACAAGAATATGACGCCGCTAAATCCAAAATATTCTCTGGCATACTGCGGGGGGGGGGGGGGGGGGGGGGATATACAATACGAGCTCTGAAACACAAAAAGAAAAAAGTGGAATCAATGAACTTGAACAAAACAGACAAAAAAATAACCTCTGAATCTTTGGAAAAGAAAGGAGAGAACAATGATCGATTGGTTTTTGATGCAGCCAAGAAGATCAGGGTGAAGCTCTCTCTGGATGACATCGACAGGTCCCCAATGACCTAGTCTAGTTCTGGACTCTTTTTATTGAGTTTTTTTTTGCCGACTATATGCGTTAAGCTGAGTGATGGTGGGATCTCAAGAACCTGTTGAAAAAAGGGTTGTGCAATTGCTCAACGCCGATGTCATTCCCTGAGTTTTTTCAGGGAGAGCAATTACATCTGGTATGATCTAGTGATACAATGATTTAATATTCCTCTAAATTCACATTAGATGTATGAAATTCAAATTAGATGTATGACGACCATTAAAACCTTCCTCTTTTTACATCATTTCCTCTAAAGATACGATGAGTTATGTAGATATAAACTGCTGTGTTTCATGCATGCATAGTGTATTATAAGTCCATGGTACCCACGCTGTATGTAGGCTAGGTCTAGATACACGTACTAGAAACATTACAGACAACACGCATCGCCTAGCCAGCTTCCAAGTTTCTTTGAACTATACTAGCGCCATTACATATATCTTGCTTTGTGATTACGATTGCATTTAATTGTGACTTTAATAGCAATAACCTATTACATTGACATGTACCTACCCTGTATCAAGAATAGGTAATTGAACATGTATTTCAAAATGTGAAATGGTACATGTACATTTGTTATTATGCGGTTGGGCAAATAATTTAGTTTGCCCAACCCAGCAACTATTGAAATACTCAATTAAGAGGTGAATGGAATCATTCATATCCAGGCACTTGAAAAATACATGTAGATATATTCATTTAATTTGAATACATTATGAAACTGTGAATAATGATTCAAATACCAGTAATGGATGACTCCATGATTGGTAACAATATATTTTATGTTATCCTACATTCTAGTTCAGGTTATAATTAGGTGGTCTGTCATCGAAACATCACCTATTGATTTCGTCAGAATTTTCTTTCTTCTTTCTTTCTTTTTCTTTCTTTTATTTGTGTAAAGGATAACTCAAGATTGGTAGAGTCAATTTCTTTCAATTTTGGCACAGTCATAGGTCATTGTCACAAGACGTAACAGCAACATTTTCAAGGTCATCAAGTTATTGTGACAACATCCCGGCGCCATTTTGTGATTTTTTGTTTACATTCACGTTATTGTCATATCTTCATAACGGAAAGTCATATCTCATTCATATTTATCATTATCAAAGTCAGTATCTGCCCGGTCAATTTCAGGTTAATAAACCAGCGCGTATGTCTGCGTGCGGAAAATGTAAAAATGCTTGAAATAACTTTTAAGGCCACTTCAAGCATTGGTCGTATGCAACATAGAATCACCATTTTTTTTTTCTTTCATGATATTCCACCTTTTTTTTTCTGAACAATTTGATTCCAGGTTTATCTCTTTATGAACATTAATAACGGAATGGGCGTCTGTTCAAGTTAAGTGTGCGCAAACTCTTTTAATACATTACATATATGGGCAAAAACATGCCTTTAAAAATCCTTTATAGCTCTTTGGGATGCTCGGGAATCCCCAATTTTTTTATTCATATATATATCTCATTACGCCATTAAATTTATTGTGAAGTCATCATAATGGCCTTGGAACTCTAAATATGAATTTGCATAATATGATGTAAGCATATTTATGGAAAATTGATTGTACAGTCAAACCAGTCCATAGCAAACACCCAAGGGAAACACAAATAGTGGCCGTTGAAGACAGGAGGCCGTTGTTGGCGGCCATTTTGATTTTGAATAATTGATTAACAGCACTCGCAAGGCCTCCGTCAGGGCGCAAACAATTCTCTGTGGCTTTATAAGGGCTCAGTTGGGTGAAAACAAGGCGGAGTTGGGAGAGCCGATCGATAAATCTAACAAATACGCAAGTTTATTTTTAGGTGTTTAAAAATTAATAAACAAAGAGTGGTACAGTGTTTAGTCAAAATAAAAATATGAAACGATTAAACATAAATTTCTCTCTTTGAAATTGTTCGGCATTTTTTTGGCAACGCATATCAATTTTGATGACATCACCATAGTGAAAATTTCAATTAAAGGTGACATGAATTTGAATGATCACCAAGATCAACAAAGATCAACAAATAGACGTGTAAAATGCGTGTTCAAATTAAAAATGCATGTTAATGCATTCAAATTCGCACATGCAAGGTCCTGATGAACATTAAGGTATTCAAATGCACGAATAAGCAAGCATTTATAGCATTTGGGATTCTTTTTTTGTTACTGTTTATGTTCTTTGCAATCTGTGCATCAATTATTATGAATAAATATGTAGAGAAAGAATGTCCTGATGTAAGGTATTATGCATCCAACTCCAAACGTGACATGAAGCACAATATGTTAAACAAATATTCATAGGCCTAATACACTTACATGTAAACAGAGAGTAGAGAGTGTCAAAGCGTATTGATAAAGGGCCATGAACCATCAACCATTTCAAGGGCCCCTTTAACCCAACCAACTTAGCCTTTCAAAACATGAATACACCTCTACTTATTAATATTCCAGCCTAATATATTCAGAAAATCTCTATATTGACCAAAAAATGATAATAACCATCCATTTTCACTTATCTCACGCTTGCTATAAAGCTCCACCCCTCAAAAAAAGGTAAATACGGTCACGTGGCTTGATGACGCATTTTAACGTCATTGCAGGAATGTCCTTGTATTTGTCCTACAACTAAGGATCTTACAATCTCATTGTAATTCATAATTAGGAATGACAAAATGGCCAGAAACGTTCTGGGATTATCAAGTGCATATTATTTATCGAATAAATGTCTCCTTTTTTCAATAAATATCATATTTTGCCTTTGTAAAAGACATTTTAATGCCTAAATCACTCTCCTTTCAATGAGAAGTCACAAGCAGACGATTTTTGCTTAGACTCGTACCACAGTCCTTTCATTATTTTGCGTGCACGTTCTTGTCACCCTGGCATCATTTTTCTTTAGAACACAAACTATTAAAAAAGTGGGCAAAAAGTCCATGGTGTTTATTTTTATCATTATTTTTTGGCATCCATGCTTTACGCTTGCAGCTTAGTTTGGTTCTTTTAATTCTATGGCTGGAATCTGCCGATACTATAAAGTCACCAAGAAAGGATTGGGATGCAAAAAAGAAGGAGACAGTGAGGATTGCAGCTGAGAAAAAGAAAAAAAATTGAGGGTAATTTACCAATTAGAATACTAACTGTTAGGCCTCAAGAGTTTCAGTTTAGACCACTCGTTATCACTCTGACATGCACTTCGAATTTCAGTGGACATGCGCCTGAACTGGAGTACGAGGTTATATTTATTATATTTATAACCTCATACATGGGATGAGTGGTTTACAGGGGCGGATCTAGTTTTTTGCCAGGGGGGGTAGACCAATTTTCTTTCCAAAAAATTTCACTTGGCCACCCAAGGGGGGGGGGGGGTTAAACTGCCGAAACACCCCCCCCCCCCCCCTAGATCTGCCCCTGGTTAAGTCTAGACTACATTAAATCTGGTCAATATTTTATCAGTCTCTGTCAGTTGACGATTTACATAAGGCCTAGATCTCCCAGTCGGCTTCTGCCTCAGCCTCAGGTGCCTCGTCGAGCTCTGGCTTGAACTGATAGGGTTTGATGTTACTGTGTACCAAAAATCAACTAAATCTTCAATAATTTTTCAAATAATGGTTAAGATTTATTATTTGTTATCTTTCTTACCTGTCTTTGTGTCAATTTTCTTTTATTTTTTGGAGTATTTTTCTTATAAATGAAGACATGAGTGTACATGCACTTTCTTGTAGGTTTCACGGCAAACCGCTACACAATACAAGTGCATACAGAGGAACATGGAGTGCGAGTGCGCGCACGTGCGTGAAGTTAGCGACCATAATGATCATCATCAATCCATAATGTGAATTACTTGCATGAATTTAATGAGGATCTGAGATTACAGTCGCTTACTTCACGCATGCGCGTGCGCCCGCAACCCATCGTCGGTATGCACTTGTATTGTGCAGCGGTTTGCCGTGAAACCTGCAAGAAAATGCATGTATACTAATTTAATTTCATCATTCATGCCAAAATAGATCGGTGATTTGATTCATAAAGACTTTGTATGAAAGACGAAAAAGTGAGATGGCTGTCAGAAACTAATAAAACTGGATATATATATATATATATATATACATGTCTGTCAATACCAATTGTAAAAATTGACACGTAACAGGTAAGAAAGATAATAATTTTTAAATCATGACCAATATTTGAAGATTTGTTGAAGATTTAGTTGATTTTTGGTATTTTTTGGAATTTATAGTAGGATATCTCCATTCAAGTGCTACATTATGTTGTGTTATAATGCCAATGTTGTCTCCTACAGTGACGTCATACTATTGCGCAATACAGCTCCGAAACAGGGATTTTTTTTTCTGAGCGATCCGAGTTATCATTTTTAAAGCTAGAATCCAGAATTATTGAGGATTTCTAAGAAAAAGTAATTGTCATATTCGGAATCTCTGTCAATTTTTTCCAACAAGTCTTTTTTTTCAATTTTAAGCCTGTTTTGATTAGAGGAGCCCTTTATTCCATTGTCTAGTACTGTAACCATTAGACCTCCATACCTCTGTGTTTTAATTTTTTTCTTTTCTTTTTTCATCTGGTGATAATAAATAGGAAACATTCTTTTAGGTAGCTTTGGTAAATACTTACTCTAGAGTGTTGCTGTCTCTGGAAGATCTTGCACCTGCTTCCTCATCCAACAATCTCTGGTAATGACCTCCTTCATCATGCAGCTACAAAGCAATCAAAGCAACTTCAATCATTGTATGTGTACTCCCATGAGACATTTAAAGGGCAAGTCCACTCCAAAAATAACTCACTTTCGATAGAAGCAGAAAAATCAGACAAACAAATAAAAAAAGTTTGAGCAAAATGAAGTTTTGAAAAAGTATGTAAAACTATAGAACAATTGAAATCACTACACAACTTGCTAATTTGGTTATCAGTTTGTGACGTCATGTCCTCACTATTTATCAATTGCTCTATATAGTTTAACCCCATTAATTTGTTTTCCCCCCAATTTTTTTGTTGATTTCATCATGCCTTTGCCCAGGTTATATTGCGTGCATGACATCGCACAAAATATTTTATGAACTTTGAAAAATTGATATTATTTTCTGAATATTGTATATTCATAATTATTGATTTTTATGTAAATAGCTTATCAAAATTCACTTTTGTCATGATTTAACTGAAAAAATTACCGGTACTCTATATTTATAGTGCATCCAGACAAAAACATATTACTATCAATCTAACTTGGATGCTGGTATGAAGAAATAAGATTCTTAGGGGGGAAATAGGAAATTTATATTATCAATATAAAGAAAACAATAAGTGGATAGTGTGGACAGACGCCACAGACTCATGAGTGAGTTTCCAATTTGTCTTGTAATAGTTTTACATACTTTTTCAAAAAATCATAACTTTCTCATTAGTTATCCAATTTTGCTCAATCTTTTTTTGATTGGTTTGTCTGATTTTTCTGCTTCTATTGATAGTAAGTTATTTTTGGAGTGGACTTGGCCTGTAAGATATGCTCCCTAAATCAAATGACAAAAAAGGAGGGGAAAGAGAGAAGGAAAGGGAGAGGGGCATGACAAAGTAAAAAAAAAAGAGATGATTTTTCTGCTTCTATTGATAGTAAGTTAATTTTGGAGTCGACTTGGCCTTTAAGATATGCTCCCTAAATCAAATGACAAAAAAGGAGGGAAAAGAGAGAAGGAAAGGGAGAGGGGTATGACAAAGTAAAAAAAAAGAGATGATTTAAACCCACTTCCACACCCATTATCCACCCAAGGGCCTTGTTCTTTCTCATTTCATTTACCTCACGAGATCTGCCCCCCCCCCATGAAATCAGTGCTAATTCAAAAGCTTAATCTTTGGTTAAGTTTTTGATGATGATGTCACAACATAGTCACAGTTTGTTGACCTTAAATGACCTTTGACCTTCACTTAGTGTCCTGAAATTCTACTCACATGATTGGGGATACTTGATGACCTTAAGTCCAAGTTTCATTGAATAAGAACTTAAAATTTTCAAAATTATATTAAAAATTAAAAAAACTTAAACTATAGTCGAGTTCTTGTTTCAGACCGCATATGCCTTAAAAGTGCATGATTATTGCTCTTATTCTTATTTATGACATTTCTAGTGCTCTTTTAGGACATGAAATTGCTATGAAGATAATTTTAGACCCCAAAATGTGTGAAATTTAGCCAATACGATCATACCAATTCATCTCCAATTTCAAAACAATATGGTAGATAGATAGATATATACCTTGAAGGCCACACCTCGCCATCATTAATATTAACAATACACAGGCCGGCTGGTTGTGCGTATTATAGCCAACATGAAAAAGCCAACATCGGCATTGGCTGGAAAAGAATGGATAAAGCGATATTTCGTTTTTTCAATGGCTCGTTCAATTTTTCAAATATTTGTGGTGGTACACAAATATTAAAAATGGTTATATCTATGGATATTTCAGCCGTCTCTGAACCGATTTTGATCAAACAAAGATGATTTTGTCCTTTAAATTGTATGCTCTTTCAAATTTGATAGTCCGTTTTTCATTATCTCAGAAAAAAAGTATTTTGTGCAGCACCTTCTGCAACAGAACTCAAATATCCGTTTGACCTAAGTTTTTTATGTTAATGCCATCAAAGTCATTTAAATTGAAATAATCAAAATTGAAACAGATTGAAATTACATAAAACTAGTTTTTATGTAGTCTTACAGATCAGGATAAGAAAAGTCTTTGCAAAAATATGTATTCTATAAAAGCATTGGGGGCTAAGAATTTTCCTTAAGGGTAAGAACAAATTCTTAGATTTTATCTAAGAAAAAGGGCTTAAAGAGTAAACATAGTACATCGGCGGCCGCGCAGGAGCTGCAGGTACGTTTTTATGCTTGTATAATACACAACGAATCCAGCCAGCGTATAGGTGGCCTTCAATTCTACTTTATATTATATGGCTGTCGTAAAGAAATCATCTCTAATGCCTCAGTCACACCTTTGTGTATTTGGCTTGCGTATTGCTGCATATTTATGGCAAGCCCTTTTAACATTTATTCCTACTTCTTCTTCTTCTTCAGGAAATGCATTCTTGATATCAAGAAATCGGATTCTTGATATCAAGAATTACCGTTGTGTAACAACAGAAAATCATTTCTTGATTTCAAGCAATAGGAATAAATGTTAAAACAGCTTGCAATAAATATGCAGCAATACGTAAGCCTAGTATGCAAAGGCGTGACTGAGGCATAAAAGTCATGGGCCAACCCTTACTGTACTGGGGGGGGGGGGGGGGCCTGGGAGGCCCCCCCCTCGACATTTTCAATGATCGCGCCGCATCCACTTGGAATTTTGAATTGTCGTTTCACGACTTTTTCCCTCCAGTCTTACGCACATTTTAATGGGTTTCAATTAACATTGAAAAAGTGGAGTCTGACAATTTTTGTAATGATTTTAGTTCCCTGTATATTTCTAGATTTGATATTCATGAATGCGTATTCATAATTTATGCAAATTAACCTACCGATATGCATTTTCAAATATCATAAAAATAATGTAACCTCATGAATTTGAGATGAAGGAACATTTATTTAATACATTTTCAACATTCTTCACAAGTTTACAGACAAATATGAAGAGTTTTCTGTAAAATGCATAAAATTAGCATTTTGCATAATTAATTAGGCTATAACGACAAAAATTTGCATATTAGGAAAAAACTAATTATACCATCTTGTTCCTTACGTAAATATCTACCATCGTGCAAATTTTCGCGTTCATCGGACTTTCGACGGCCGAGATCATAGCCGAGATTGAGCACCTCGTGACTGTCACCAGTCACGAGGTGCTCAAAATAGCCCAGTACAGTAAGGGTTAAAATATGGAAACAGGGAATGATGTTGTCATTGGCATAGTGTTAGGTGAGACAAAATTTGTTATATTATGAGTCTGATGAATGTTAATTTTAGCTATTTGATTGATTTTAAGCTAGCTTTGCCTTTAGCAGTATACGAAGTATCGCGAAGTCTTCACAGATTATTATTTTGCATGACTCTGGCACTCGTCAAGAGCTATGTACACACGTATGGGCACATTTAAGAATAAAAAAGGAGAAGAAATTTTCAAACTGGTAAGAAATTAGTTTGTAGTCAACAAACTAGAAACAATTTAAAGTACTGTATGCGGGCACTTTGCCGCCGAATGTACATGAATAAAAAGTGATATATTCGTTCATGACATTGATACACGGATATGAGGATATTCAGGCCTCTTGTTGCCCTTATTTATTATGTTTTTAAATGAATTGAGTGTGGTAACAATGTATTCTCGAAATAAAAAGATAAAATATCCATTTGGGCGCCTTGCTGGCAAAATATTGTCAGCGAGCGAGGAAGAAAGACACTTTATTCTCTTTAAAATTTCATTTTCTCATGTAATTACATTTTCTAACCGTTTCTGATATTTTGTTTTTCACAAAATAAACGTTTTCCAAATGTAACTAGCACTCTTGAGTTACAAAATCAAATGAGATGAATTACCAGAGCAGATATTTTTTGTTGTTGACATGGAACCGTACATATAACTTGAAGGCAATTTCTATTTCAAAATAATTTACCGTACAAGAAAACATATTATACTTCAGCATGACAACAGAAATATATATATAGATATATAGAACGAAACCTTAATTTTTGATCATGGATGAGGGCCCATTCTACATACAAAGACAAATATACGATCAGCTGATTAAAAAAGTTGCAGAGGATGCATAAATGAAATCTCACATCTTAATTTCTTTGCTGAGCCATTGTTGGTGAGAGAGGCCGTCACGCGTACTCATCTGCGAGCAATGTATTGTTACATTCCTAAGAAATACAGTTTCTGTTCTTTACTCGGTGGCAAAACTTCGGGGGGATTGGGCAACCTCCGAACCCCCCCCCCCTACATCAAATTGAATTATTTGATAAGACTGAAATGAACTTCATAAATAACTAAGAAAATGAAAGTTTATGAAATTTTCTGTAAATAGCAATTTGGAGAGAAGCTCGCATTATATGTCACAGCGTTACAAAATCCTTGAGGGATCATTGTTCTGGGGGAGGGGGGTAGTTGACCTCGGGGGGTAATTGTCCACGGGGGTGGTTGTCCTCGGGGGGTAGTTGTCCTTGGGGAGGGGTAGTTGTCCTTGGGGGGAAATTGTCCTCGGGGGGGGGGGGGGGGGGATTTTCTGGGGGGCAATTGTCCTTTGAGGTTAGTTTCCCACGGGGTGATTGCCCAGGGGGTAATTGTCCTGATACGGACCCTAGCCGCAGCATAAGAGAGCCCAATTGGGCTCTTCGAAGATGTTCGACAGAAAAGTATAAAAAGCCTACGTTGGATGTTCGATCTAGATCAGGGGGTCTTGACTAGACTGCCTTACTAATATTTTAGTGTTAGTTGGTCAAGCATCATTCCTCCTATACACTCCATCTCCCATACGTTTTGTATATAATTTTCATGCAGTGCCATTTTTAATTTAACACAGGTGCGCCTCAGGGTCATGACAGGATGCAACGTCCTCTTGACAGTCGAGACTAGGCAATAATTTCAGACTTGTCTTGCCTTCGGAGCAATTTTTTTATTTAATGTCATGGGACTAGCACACAGCAGTTTCATAATATCTCCCCCTATTCCAACCGACAAATCAGTGTTTAAAAGTATAAAAACTGCTTATGAATGATATCCTATCAAACAAGTCAATGCAAAATGTAGCAACTAGCATCACCTCGCCAGGTACAAATAGCATATATTCAGCAACTTTCACATATTTAATGAGCAGCAACTTTTGACCTTTGACTTACATACTCCAAAATTGCACTTAGGCTGTATTTTGATACCATGTACCTTCATATCAAATTTCTTTAAAATCTGTCAAACATTACTAAAGTTATCGAACGGAAACCAGATTTGTTAGGGATGGATGGACAGACAGAAGGACGGACTGCAGCGTTAATATAGCGCAGCAAACAAAATAGACCGCAAGTGACTTGGCCACAAGGCTAATCAAAAGTGCATTTGAAATTGGGCTTGAAAGTAACATACAGGTATTTTTAATATATTGGCGATAGCGAGAAATGATGATCCTGTCCAACACAAAATTTGATGATGTCATGCACACAAACTTATACCAGGAATTTTTTAGGACCATGCATACTTGAGCAAATCTTGGTTGTGGTACGAAGATATTTTCTGGATTTAAAAAAAAACTTTTCTATGATCCTGTGACTAAAGTGACCTCATATACTACAAAAAGAATAAAATTATCCTTACATTTTCATCATACACTTTAGTTTAATGGTACATTTTTCTTCAATGGTTCTCAAGTTTAACCCGAACGCCTCGAACGATATATATTCTTGGACTTTAACATACTTTGTGACCTGTGACCTTTTACACCTCGTAACCTTGGGAGTTTATCCTTACATGTATACAAACTTATCGAAGTATGATTAAAATCCATTCAATGGTTCTCATGATATTGCAGTAACTAAAAGTGGGATTAATTGATGGATAAATGACACTGAAAATATTATGTCTCCTCTATCACGTGATAGTCATAAAAAAGCTTGCTCTTGAAAACTCAATCTGACTTACATGGACATGGGCAAAAAAATCCCTTGCATTCTCCAACACACATTGGTGTTCCTTCAGCTCCAAGTAGTTCCTTTGAAGAACCTCATTGCTCTGGTTCACTTCACGAAGCTCATTTTCTGTCTTCTCACATGCTGCCTAGGCATGAAAAATCAAATATGACATGGAAGATCATTTTCTAAAATATATCTCAATAACATTGCCTAAGAAATAAGGCTCCATCTCAGCGTAGTAGAGCAGAGTTTCAATCATAAACACATTATGAAACCAAGAAGTGATGTTGTACACTTGTGGCTACTTAAGGACAAATAACAAACATGAAGTGTTTCTCGTCCCCGTCTGCCTCCTTTTTGGCAAGAAAGACCAAAACAAGACCAAAAAATGAAGAAAAAAAGCATGTGATATACATTTTGTTCAAATATCTTCATAAGTTATACAAATTTTGTCATACATTGCATCGGTATACTCACAAAGCACAATGTGAATAAAACCATTCATTTTATGATTTAAACAAGTCAATATATATTGATTAATCAGGGGTGATAGTGAGCACTAAAAACAAGGGAAACGCTCTCGGCGGTCTTGCCTACATAACGCAATTCAATATGATAAACCAGAACGTCAATGGCGTAGCGCTCATCCGCATCTCGCAACAACAAATATCGTAAATTTTATCTGGTACACCTTTGAACTCGTCAAAAAATAAAAATTGGATACCCTGGAAGGGACATAATTTCATTTCATTTGCATAAATTACCATAAATAATCAATGGAGCAAAATCTCAAAATTCTGTGTAGAAGTTTAGTGTTCCAAATTTAGCTCTACCAGATAAGGCAAACCAATTCAAAATCGGTCAAGAAATGAGGGAGAAGAAGCAATTTTTGTTATTTTTGGATTTCTTTACCATAATTAAATAATGGAGACCAATTTTAAAAAAAGAATAAATTTGCATAAAGTACCATTAATAACGAGAAACACATTTTTGTTTGTTATTTGGCCTGAATTATAAGTTAAGGAAGAAATAGTGGCTCATCTGTCTTACGGCTATGAAATTTTCATTGCTGTGAGATTATCTATTATTCAGATTACCTTTAATTGTACATCTAGCATTGAAGTCACTACCTTAGTACCACCATGGACCTATTACAGATGGACATTCGACGTGATTCTTTCTTTGATCCAATGATAGTCACCGCCTTCTGATTATGTGCATCGTAATGAGAACATTCAGCTGTTTTAACAATAACGATTGCGTAAGCATTTTGGGTCATTGACAAAGGAGCAGTTTCCCTCTCTTTGGTTTTGTTTGGATGGTGTGCTCTGTTAGAGTGTGTCTTAAATAAAAACATCCCCAATGGGGAGCAGCAAAATTGAAAAGCAGACGATTTGGGTGATATGAAATGTATTATTACTGATTTGCACACTTTCGCACACACCCATGACCTTTTAAAACAATTAGAAGGCCATGATCTTTATAAGCCCTGTGCATTGTAACTCTGAAATATTATGAGGAAAATGAAGGGAAATGTAATTTTAAATCACAACCAATCCAAATATAAACTCTATCTGGTAATATCAACATGTTTTTCAAAATAAAATACAGTGCACGGAACAATAATTTCTGATTATAAATCAGAACTGCACATCGATTCTCCATGATTTAAGCGAGTTATGATCTTCTGCGCATGTATAGTAACATGTGTAAAATCACTATCTTGATTCTGTCCCTGCTTTTTGGCGGTGACCATCATGAGATCAAAGTGAAGAAACATGTACGGAATGTTATTGAGACGACATTGGCAGAGACAATCACAATGAAGAAAACGATGAATGTCCATCCGTAATAGGTCCATGGTACCACTATCTCTCATCTGAACAATGTTACCAAGTCCCTTTAATAAAATACAGTTATAATGTTATCAGAATAACACATCTATTACTTTGAAACTTGAAATCATAATGGAGAAAGCTGGATTATTTCAAGAGCAGCAGACAAGCTTTGTTCAAATTTACTCAATTTCATTGAGACTTTGAGTTGAATATTAGATATATCACCAGCATCATGGCATTCATCATCACGAATAAATAATTGAATAGTACTGTAAAATCAGGGTAAATATGAAAGGGGGGGGGAGTGTTTTAGACTTAAGTTTTCCTTCCATGAATGATACAAACCCTTTTCATTGTGAGGGGTCAGTGAAATAGAGATGTAACTCCATTTAAAAAAAAAAAGGTTTATGTGTCAATGGGCACTTGGGCCTTAAGGAGTTAAGTCTACCGGTATGTTTCACTAGCCATTAACTTCAATGTGGTGTTGGTTGGAGTTAAGTCTTTGTGTTTCCTGGAAAGCCCACATTTTTCTGAACATTTTGATATCAAATACTTTTTTTGGCAAACTATGGAGTTACGTCTTTGTGTCACTGAACTGTCACTGTCAACAACACCTTTCAATTTCCTTTACCTTTCCTTGAATTGAGTAAAATGGGGAAATGGAACAACTATTCATTAACAGAGATAGACGTTGGTGTGTTTTGTCTGTGTGTGACTCATACCACAGGTTTACACATTGGATTGCAACTACATGACTTCATAGAAGTTGCATCCAAAATAGATTTAATCCCTCTATTCCCTGTATGATCGTAACTTGGGTCATTACTGTACATGGCCTATAGTTGATTTGCGACAGACAGCTAAAATCTTTACTTTATTGTTAAAGTGACATGACCCTCTTGTTACTGTAAGTTAACATTAGACTCATTCCCTACTTTTATTTGTCACAATTACCATTTGTTTCTCTAGTCTCTTCTACGCCATACATATTCGTTTCACATCATTTGCATATTCATTTCATCCGTTCATCTCCACCACATACCAACTCTGAAAGCTAGAACAGGTGGTATGTTCTCTTCTCATTTGCATATTTCCACTTCTTACTTATCATTGGTTCTCTTCTCATTTTTCTTATGAATATTCTTAAATCCTATTGTGCTATATTTTAATATAATTTGCATGAAGCACATGTACAGCCTGAGATAATAAAACTGAAGCAGAGCTGGACTGGACTTACACTGTGTCAGAGATGTATTTTTAGAGCTCTGTGGGCATGAGATAGGAGAGACTTTATAGGAGAGAGGACTTGTGAGTTAGGCAGTGATTTGTAAGATTGGTGTTTAATTCAGTGATTGATTGGCAAGAGAGTATTTTATTAGTTTACATTACAATACCTCTAGATCAATCATGGCCTTTGGTAGAGGAGCTGGGACGAATGAGAGATTCTCTTCAATTTTGACACCAGCTAACTTCACTTCCTTCTCTATGTAACCTGCATGGAATGGATAGAAGCCCTTTGTAAAAGTAAAAGCATAATCTACCACATCTTTGCTATGGTAATGCAATTTACTTTTTATTTTCAATTATATAATTATAAGATACATGCATAATATTGTGCGCAATCAATAATGCACACATTGGTACATGCACATAGTACCTTTGTACAGATCTTTACATTCATTGTTAGACAAGCAGGTTTACCGGTATTTGCTCATTAGGGACTTATCAATTTGCACATTCACTAGTGGACTGCTACGTATGCAGTCATTTTTTAAGCAGGGTTGACGTGGCACGCTGACTGTTGTTTGTTATCTTTTTTATTTCACACGACGACGTTCGCTCAGTGCGTCATGCAAAATTTGATAAAATAGCTAAAGATCCAACACAAAATTTGGTGCATGGGACTATACCGGTACTCGACAATTAAGCTGCAACACATTGGCGATGCATTAATTAATGTGTTCATTTTATGGATTAATCTGCAACTATTTTCATTTAACCCTTACTGTACTGGGCTATTTTGAGCATCTCATGACTGGGGGAGGGTGGGGGGGGGGGAGCCTGGGAGGCCCCCCCCCCTATGATCTCGGTCGATGATAGTCCGATGAACACGAAAAATGTGCATGTTTGTAGATATTTACATAAGGAACAAGTTGGTATAATTATTTTTTTCCTAATATGCAAATTTTTGTCGTTATAGCCTAATTAATTATGCCCCCCCCCCCCCCAGTACAGTAAGGGTTAAGGGAAATTACAGACAAGAGAATGTATTCATTTTAGAGAGCTTACGCTTCCTCAACTCTCCGTTTGCAAAATTAGGTCAATTGGGTCCATTTTGTGACTTCAATGGGCTGTTACGTTTCTACAAAATATTGCTTACGAACAATACTGTCACAAATTTAGAATGACGACAAAACAATGGGGAAGGCCTTCGAGAATTCTGCTACGAACGATGAGCTTGTCGATGCGCATACACACTGCTTGAAAAATGACTGCATACATCGCAGTCCACGAGTGAACTTGCAAATCAAAAAATTCCCTATTGGATTTTTTTTTTTTGGGGGGGGGGTGATGGTATATACTATATACAGGAAAATCAAATATATTTGATGTTAGCATATTGATTTAAAATTGAAATTGAATATAACATCTACATAATTTAATATTTCACTTAATTTCTTCAAAATACATGAAAACATACATCTACAATTCTTGACACCTATACAATTTTTAATGTGTTCATAGACTATTAAAAGGGATAACGCCTTGTATCCTCTGGAAAAGACAAGATATAAATCCAATTATTATGATTATTACAAGGAAATTTCTGAGGAATGTTTTAAAGATGATGTCTAACCAAATTCAAGATTTGGTGCAGGCATTTTTGTTGTCTAGAAGTCATCTCAACTGACCTAGTACTTTCTTCAATGGTGCTACCTTTAGATGAATTACTTACGTATTTTTCGTTCCATTTCATCACAGCGACGTACTTCACTAACAAACTTCCTGTGGAAGGCGCTCACATTTGGGTTGAGCTAAATACACACATGAAGAAATATGAAATTGTAACTACTTCAAATGGCCATTATACTGCTCCTCCACATTAGAATTTGTAATCGATTGCACTTTTGCTTTATTAGTAGGTTCCATCTCTTTTTACCCCTCAAATTTTTGTTATCGGTCTGACAATGCACACTGACCTCTGAACTTTTGAAGGTGCTTATGGGTCTATACATCAACATATTAATGTTCTTGATATAAATATTACTAAAAAATTTGCCCAACTTTTCTGCAATCTGCTAAGCCTTCCCCCATACAAATCCACCAAAATATTGTGCCTCTTTTGACATCACAGCCAGCTTTAAAATTGGGAATAATAGTGCACATTCATGTACTTACCATATAACTAATATTTCTATATTCCAGCATTGCAAACAAGAAACTAGGTAAGGTGAAATTGCATATGCCTGTGTGTGGTTATGCTTATTCATAGCTTCCTGTGATATCACAAGAGGCACAGGGTGATTTTTGAGGATGTCAATGGTCAGTGCTTAGCGAGTTGCAGAATGAAAAGGGCAAAAATGTCCCAAAATATATCATGATAATTGATACATATTTAAATCAATATTAGAAATAGTTTTATGTAAAAAAAAAAAAATAGTAGTCCAAAGAAGTCACCAATCACTTACAAGTATGTGCATGTCATGGGACCTTTAAGTCTTTAAAATCCATTCTCCGTAATCACTGTATTGTTTTATGCTTTCAGTTTTAACTCTTACATTTCATAATGATTACATACCTTTCTGTGTTGTTTTCCCTTTGTCTTCGTTTCTTGATCTTTAAATAGACTAGGCTATTTCAGGTTTTAAAGACGATGGGAGAAGGCAAGATGCATCCCCCCCCCCCATGGTCTCCGCCATACAATGTCTAATTGTTGCTATATAAATTTGGCACGCACTTAGAAAATGATTGGAGTGCATCCCCCCCCCCCCCATCATTTAAGGGTTAATTAATACTCTCTACTTTAGAGCTTACATCTCTGAACTGAACTAGTCCCAATTCTCCTAATTCTGAGACACACGAGTATGCTGCTTCAGACTGTACGAAGAGCTGGGCCAAACACATCTTCTCACCCCGAAACAAGGACCCCATCTTAGTGCCTCCCTGAACATGGAAAAAAAGGTGTTAAAAATAAAAATGTACAACAACAATAACAAAACTTGCATTATCAGTCACTGGATATGATACGACTTTGGTGTCTTTTATCTTAGGCTTGGTATTCAACAGGTAAAAAATTATATAATTTGTATTTCCAAAAAGGGAAACGCTCTCGGCGGTCTCCCCTGCATTATGCAATTTGATAGGATGAAAAATTGAGGTTGAGACAATATTTATAGGTAAAGTGGCCCATTAGCAGGCCCCCCAAAATGAAATCCTCTGAATATAGTCAGCATTTTGAAGTGAATATTGACAAAGAATCATCAGAAGAATTATTTACTATTTTTGTACCAAGATTGATAAATTGAATGGAATAATGGAGCAAATAACAAAAATGTATTTATTAATTCTGATACTAAGTTGTGAAAACATAATTCAAGTCTACTGACCTAAAATGATCTTTGACCTTGTGACATGGAATTTGTACCATATTTATTAGTGATACTTGATAACCCTTGTGTACAAGTTTCAGGGAATTTGAACAAACACTTTTGAAATGCTAACAATTTAAAATCTTGATGTTGATGCCACAACAAAGTCTAAGTTTGCAGAAATTACATTTGACCTTGACTTTGTCACCTAAAACTAACCACATGATTGAAGATACCGGGTAAGTATTAGTAGGGAGGCCAATACCCTGGGGTAAGGCTTCTACACTTACGATTTGTGCGCCCGTCGTTCACTTCAGAAAATTAGCAGAAAGAAAATAATAAAATAAAAATTGATTACAATAAAAAACCAAAATACAATTATACATTCCACAACATACCTATAATCATGGATCTGTAACGGTCTTTCACCATTTGTTGACGATCTTGCAGATTTGACATCAAGGGATTTGAATCCAATAATTGTGGTAGCAGAAGAACATGACGCGCACACACCACCGACTAAGAAAATCCTAGAGGGTGCAGAGGTTTGCTCACTAAAATCCTTCTCATTGGCAGAAGGTAGACCCTAAAAATATGGAATCCATTTTAAGTCCAAGAACTTTTGATAGAGATTAACATTTCAGATGTTCACAAATGCCACTTCTAACAACTAGAAAATATTTTTAAAAAAAGAATATATCTTTTTAAATACAGATTTTTACAAACTGAACATTCAAAGGTAAGATAGAGTATGATGTTTCTGTCAATCTTGCGTTGGTTTGATCCATATAGCTACATACATCTCAAAACGAGAAGGAAAACTGTGAACAGTGACGTCATTGTTCGAGTCAAATATAGAGGTTATTGCGACATATGTCTGAGCTCCAGTCAGTTCACCCGACAAACAAATCTAGCGTAGTCTTAAACATAGTAGTGCTGTGCACAACCGTGTTTTTTAATTAGGTGGTCTGTCAATGACAGATCACCTATTGTTTTCGTCAGAATTTTCTTTCTTTATTTATTATTATTTATTTTTATTTATTTCTTCACACTTTTTTGTTCACAGGATAACTCAAGATCGGTTCCATCAATTTCCTTCAATTTTGGCACAGTCATAGGTCATTGTCATGAGACGTGACAGTAACATTTTCAAGGTCATCAAATCTTCATGACGTCATCCAGGCGCCATTTTGTGTTTTTTTTTGGCACTTTCAACTCATGATCATATCTTCATAACGGAAAGGCATTTCTTATTAATATATATCACAATTAAGGTCAATATCCGTCCGGTCAATTTCAGGTCAAAAAACGCGCGAGCATGCGTACGTCCGCGCGTCAGCGCGCGTGCAAAAAATAAAAATGCTCAAAATCGTCTCAAATTCATTTTGCATACGTTTCAGGCCATTTTAAGCATTTTGCAAAAAAAACGCGCAAAAAAATACACATATGTATAAATAAGCATATAGAGAAAACACGGTAAGGTTTTCAACCTTGACCTTGACTGATGAAGTCATCTAGGTGCCATTTTGTGAAATTTTCTGAAAATTTACTCATGATCATATTTTCATAACGGTAAGTCATCTCTCATTCATATTTATCATGATCAAGGTCAATATCAGTCCAGTCAATTTCATGTCAAAAACGCGCCATGCGCGTATGTCCGCGTGCAAAATTTTGAAATGCTCAAAATCGTCTCAAATTTAATTTGCATATGTTTTAGGTCATTTTATTTTTAAAAATCGCGCATGCGCACGCGTTTTTTTTGCGCGTAACAACATTACACAACATAGAATCGCCATTTTTTTTCTTTCATGAAAATTCCCATGTTTTTATAAACAATTTGATACCATGTTATCTCTTTATGACCATTAAAAACAAGACGCGCGTCAATTCAAGATAAATTTCTGTGCGCGCGAGCTCTTGTAATACATAGCATATATGGGCAAAAACATGATAGAGAATGAGTCGAAAAAATATGATTTAATGTCTCATTTGGCTATTAAAAATATTCTGACATCATCATAATGGCCTTCGAAATAAAATTATGAATTTGCATATTATGAAGTCAACATATTTATGGAAAATTGATTGTATCTCTGTAAATATTGATCAATTTTCTTCAAAATTTTGATATGTTGTAGCTAAGACAATTCTCTACAAGCTTAGTTTTCATCATTTTTTATTTTGATGACGTCATCATAGTGAAAATTTTGATTAAAGGCCTCATGTCAGAAATTTAATAATTTGCGTGTTATGCCTATAGAAGGTGAATATCAATCACTTCATGAATCTACATGATATTGTTTTTTAAGAATTTTTAAGCAGTATCTCGCTTATTTTTGCTCTATTTTGTCTCAAATTTTAGTTGACCAGCCCACCTACACTTGTTCCAAACAAGTATTACATGTCTAGTTAATTTTAATTCTTTTCTGGTTTATATTGACTACAAACACGTAGATCTATGTTAGTGCTGTAGTCAAACGTTTAACCGTCCGGTATCCGACCGCCCATGGCGGATTCCGTTTTCAATTGGACGGTTTCGTTTTCCCGTTTTTTTTTTGTTGTTTTTTTTAATTTTTGTTTTTTTTTAAATATATATATATATATATTTTTTTTTTTTTTTTTTTTAAGTTTCGATTTATGACCCTCCACCTGGCACTATGCCTGGCAATGTCTCCCAGCTCAGTAATCTGCATGTTGACTCACCACTCCGAAACTAGAACAACACCCCAATTTGTCTGTCATATTGGTTTGAAAGTAATCTTTGTAATAGATCTCAATATGTAGTTTATGATAATAATTTATCCAACTTTTACACACTGCGTACCACAAGGTTCTAATCCTAGGTCCTCTACTGTTTTTAATTTACATTAATGATAGTGCTGTAACATCACGGATATCTCCAATTCCGTTTAACCGCCAGTCAAAACCAGACGGTTTTCGGTTAAACGATTAAAAAAAAAAAAAAAAAAAAAAAAAAAAAAAAAAATTCTTTCTTTTTTTAGCAAGCCAGGTCCGTGTGAAAAATCGAGAAGGACTTTCATTTAACTGTGACGTCCAATTGAAAACGGAATCCGCCATGGGCGGTCGGATACCGAACGGTTAAACGTTTGACTACAGCATTATTAATGATCTTACACATTCTTCTAAAAACGACATTGTTACTATTATTTGTGACAAGTTCACAAGCACAAATCGGCGCCTTCAAATGCAAGTCGCAGTTAAATAAAATTCCTTCCCGCTCGGTCAAAAAAAAAAAAAAAAAAAAAAAATTAATTTTAATAATTTAAAAAAAAAATCGTTTAACCGAAAACCGTCCGGTTTCGCCTGGCGATTAAACGGAATTGGAGATATCCGTGATGTTACAGCACTAATCTACGTTGACTCTCTCTCTCTCTGTTCATGTTTTGTCCCTCCATTATAGCTCGGTTTCAGGACTGTGGCTTGCAATGCGTCAGTGTGTGCGACCGATTCAAGGCTAGCGGCTGACAAGTGAATGTACTTTCGCACAAAGTTTTAAACTTAATGAGACGCCCATCCCCTCGTGCCTGGCTAATTATGAACGTAATTTGCAACATGAAATATAATTGTTTCAAGGCTCTTAGTCCTAGTTACGGATGGATTGGTGTAGAAGGAACCACCAACTTTAGACCTGGATATCTCCTATTTTATGGAACTTCTGGAGTCGGCAGATGGGTGAGTTGTCTTAGTTCAAGAAAATACTTTCTTTTAAACTTTGCTTTATTATAAATAAATGAGTAATTAAAAAGTTAGATTTTGGTATTGACCTTTAATTGTAGGAAGGCCAATGGCAAAATCTAACTTTTTAATTACTAATTGATTTGTTTATAATAAAACAAAGATTAAAGGGAAGGCATTTTCTTTCACTAAGAAAACTCACCCATCTGCCGACTCCAGAAGTTCCATAAAATAGGAGATATCCAGCTCTTGAGTAGGCCCTTCCTTCTATGCCTGGCCGTACGTAAGAGCCTTGAAACAATCAATTTAAATTACGTCGAGAATTAGACAGGCCCGAGGGAATAGGCGTGTCATTGCTCGGACAACAAGTTCAAAACTTCGCGCGAAAGTACATTCATCATCCGGCTAGCCTTGAATTGGTCACACACCGAACCAGGCAAGCCGCAATACAGGCTGAAGTTGAAATCGAACCATCAATGTACGTACGACTACTACATCTATGAGTAAAAAGAGAAGGAAAGAACTAGATCCAATTCATTAATATTTACCTTAGCTTAGATTGGTATTCCAATAACTTGATTTCCTCATGAGTATTCCTTATGATTTCAGTCGGAGCTCTACTGTACAATCAACAAGAACGACCTCCATAATCCAGCTCACACTACAGCGCTACACATGATACTACTACATATGCATGCATATTGCACATACGTACTACATACGTAGTACCTGGATCTCTCTTTCTCTCTCTCTCTAGCTGTACGCAACAACCAACTATATATCATGCACTCACAATCACATCATCCAATCATATCTTTCCGTCCTAACTTCTCAATTGGAGTATAAGACTGCTCACGTAGACATTTTTTACTGAAATATCTTTTTTAAACATTTTTCATACATGACTTACTGTACAAGCTCAACACTCGAGTCTAGTGCTGTGAGAATAAGGTACTGTTTGTGAGACTAGCCAAATTTGTTTAGCGGGTGTTCTGATCGGAGCTCATACATATTCATATTATGATGTTGCAATAGATCTACCTCCATATTTGGCTCGAACAATGACATCACTGTTTAGTTTTTCTTCTCATTTTGAGATGTATGTAGCTATCGGCCTCAAACCAACGCAAGATTGACAAAAACATTGTACTCTATCTAGACTACCTTTGAATGTGCAGTTTTTAAAAATCTGCAATTAAAAAGATATAATCTTTTTTCTTTATATATTCTAGTTGTTAAAAGTGACATTTGTGCACATCTGATGTTAATCTCTATCAAAAGTTCTTTCATTTAAAACGGATTCCATATTTTTAGGGTCTACCTTCTGCCATTGAGAAGGAATTTAGTGAGTGAGCTCATCTCTGCGCACTCTAGGACCCCTCTATAGTTTCTCTTGTGTGCACGTTATTTTCGTCTGCATGCTACCACAATTCGTCGCTGTTTTCACGAAGTGATGGTAGTTAAAAAAAATTGCATTCACTTTGCGTGACGATTTTCCTCACTACCGTCACTTCTTGAAAAGAGGGACGAATTATTGGATTCAAATCCGTCAAAATCTGCAAGATCGTCAACAAGTGGTGAAAGATTTGTTGTGGAGTGTACAATTGTGCATTTGTTATATATTTTATTCCATAGCCATCATGGCCAGGCATAGACCGAATTTTCCGTCTCTTTCGTTCGTTAGCCTCTTATTGGGGTAGGGTCGGCTCTCTCTTTAGAGACGGAAACCGTCTATACACATTCCCTTGATAACGCCACGGCCATTTCAGGTCGTAGCGTTTTGCCCCCAAAATCCCCCAAAATGTCATTTTACCTCATGCATTGATTATTTAAAATTAGGAGAAGGTTATACTACATCGGTTCCACTTACCAACTTGACTGAAATAATCCGTTTAATGGTCCCTTTTAAGGAAATTATGGGTCAAAATCGACATCCATGTTGAAATCTTGCAAGCCGTGTTAAACTCTCGGAGTCATCTAAATCAATCTCATCCCTTCTAGTCTACGCCGAAGGCAAAACGATTATGAAGGAAAAACTGTGATAACGCCATTACGAACGTGTAGATGGCGCACAGTTTTTCCTTCATAATCGTTTTGCCTTCGGCGTAGACTAAAAGGGATGAGATTGATTTAGATGACTCCGTTCGCAGCGAGAGTTTAACACGGCTTGCAAGATTTCAACATGGATGTCGATTTTGACCCATAATTTCCTTAAAAGGGACCATTAAACGGATTATTTCAGTCAAGTTGGTAAGTGGAACCGATGTAGTATAACCTCCTAATTTTAAATAATCAATGCATGAGGTAAAATGACATTTTGGGGGATTTTGGGGGCAAAACGCTACGACCTGAAATGGCCGTGGCGTTATCAAGGGAATGTGTATAGACGGTTTCCGTCTCTAAAGAGAGAGCCGGCCGACCCTACCCCAATAAGAGGCTAACGAACGAAAGAGACGGAAAATTCGGTCTAGGCTCTAGACCTCCCTTTTTTTCTTTTTCTTTTTTCTTGACATGGACGACGAGCGCACAAATCGTAGGCGTAGAAGCCTTACGCCCGGGCATTGGCCTCCCTAGTATTAATAATAGTTAGTAGAGTCTAGACCTAAGTACCGGTAATGCATTTTCTCACGCATCTCTCTCTCTCTCTAGTTGTATCCTTCCTCCGCTCAGGTCGGAGATCGTCGGCACGGAAGCCAAATTTGAAAGTTGGAAACAAAAATTAGGGTCTACTTGAATTGAGAAACTTTACAGTTCTCACGATCACGTAGATAGATCTATCTAGACTAGTTAGGTCTAGATCTAGACCCTACCTAGGTCTATTGAAGTATTATCTAAATTATACTGTCCCTAGACTAGTCTAGACCTAGACTCTACTAAGTTTTTAGTAAGACTAAGAGCCTCACCTTCAACTTCAAGTCGATCTCGATATAACATAAAAAAAAGTCAACTTGTCCTTGAATGATTGACGAGCAAGCTGGAATAGACAGATCCGGATCCTCGATCCTCGACGTACATGAAGCGGCACTTAACTGGAGAAGAAGAAGATGAATATATAGGTCTACACTGTATACTTCCGGCTAGCTAGGCGTAAGTAAGAAATTCTACCGACGACACCCGACTATGCCGTAATCACATGATGTACTGATATGGAACGCTGTTCAAATCACGTGCTAATACAGAAAAGGGTAAAATATTTACGATCTTGAATAATCGATTTTATGTCATCATTTTATAATTGATGACATAACCATGTTTTTTCATGATTTTATCTAAAAAAATAGTGTAATTTAGATGGTCTTTTCGATGGATGGTTACGGTACAGTGTATTTATATTTTACAATATTGGCTTGCCATAGACACCTTCATGCGCTACTACCAGCTCCGGAGCGCATCTTTTTGTTTAACCTAAGCTAGCCATCCTACCGCTGCATTTGATTGGCTCAATTGGAACCTAAACGTCATGCGCTAGTCATAAATATTCATGATACGCATGTACACAGACTGATATGTCAAATAAATTAGATTTCATACAAAAATTACAAGTGCAAAGCTATATCAAAATGAATGACATTGCGAGAAAAAAAAGAATGACTGCCTAGTCATAACGTGTTAGTCCAGAATCTGAGTCCAGCGTTAGGATGGCTAGGTTAGGTTTAAAAATGGCGGCTGCATTTTGATTATAAACATTTCAAACACCACGTAGTCTACTGTACAAAACTCAACTGATTTCACTAAAAATCGGTGCTTTGATGACATCTAAAATAGCAGTAAAACAAAAAAAAGTAACATGCCGATTTTAAAAAGGATAATAAAAAAAATTCAAATTGCAAGTCTAGATCTGTTCAATCTAGATCTAGATCTACTGCCAAAATTTCCGATCAGCCGCATCGGAATGATTGTGTGCATTTCATGTACCGGACGCCGGTAGCGTTATTTTTTTATGCGGCACAGATTGGGGCTTTTTTTAAAAAGGGGTCTTGATTTACAGACTAATACTGGTCGTGTGCGTACTAGACAGTATAAGTAGTAGAGGTCAGTTTTTAATAGTGTTATATTTAATCCACTACCGCATGGAAAATCATTACATCAACAATTAAAATCAAATTGGAAATCTGAAGAGGAGGCAGCACGTCAATAAGGAGAACATCACAATAATTAGTCAATAAAACTTAACTAATTTAAACGAAGAGGAATGTTATCTAAACACATAGTTCGCGATAGATATACAAACTTCTTCGCAGCGCTTATGCGCTAGCTATAAACATGACTAGTCTCACGTACGTGCAGACACTATTCAGAAGGGAAAGAACGTACTTCCCATAGGTTTAACACGCGCCATGCCCCAATCTGTGCCGCATAAAAGTACCGGTATAAAAGGGGTCCAGACAACTCGCCACAAAGACAACCCGCCCCAAGACAACCCGCCACAATACCCTGGACATCTCGCCACAATACCCTGGACAAGGTTCGACCGTGGCGAGTTGTCCAGGGTGGGGTGCCTTTTCGGACAACTCGCCACACTTTTTTCCCCTCGTGATTTCTAGATCTAAAATCCCTCATCTTAGATGAAATTGTCATTTTATGTATTTATTATTCTTTTGTAAACACATTCATGACAGGAAACATGGAAATTGTGAGTATTTTGAGAGCTGTTTTAAAGAATGATTTTCCTTGCGCTTGCAACAAGAATCTATTTTCAATCTAGAAATAAACCAAATTTCAATTTTATTTCACGGGTCAACTGCCCACCCCCCCCCCCCCCCATCAGTATGCCAGTGCTTCCAGTATCCTACCATTAAACAAATTCTGAGACAGAAAAATGCAGCTGTTATATAGACCACTAGATCTAAATACCGAGAAGTTATCCCAATGATCTTGCGATCGCACGCCTAATTCGGTTTGTCAAAAATATATTATTGTTGCAAGGGATCAGCTTTATTCTTTATTCTTTGTAATGACTGTGTTAATAAAAGAATAATGAATATATAAAATGACAATTTCATAGAAGATGAGGAATTTTAGATCTGGCACCCCACCCTGGACAACTCGACCTGAAGTTTTATTAATAATGAACTAGAAAGTAGTGAGGATTCATGCAAATAAGTTGTCCTTGAATCTTCAAAAGACAAACTATAAGTTTTTTAGTAACTCCCTAAAGGATGTACCTGGAAATGTATTTTTTGATGATGTTAACGTTGTGAGAGTAACTTCCACCAAGTTTCTTGGGCTACATATTGATGAGAAGCTGTCTTGGGCATCTCATTGTACTAATATTTGTAAAGTCGTGTCTAGAAATACTGGTGTAATTTAATTAAGTTCTTTTGTCTCACAAGAAATTTTGCTTATAAGTTGTATTCTACTTTAATTTTGCCTTATCTCAATTATGGAGTGCTGGCATGGGGGAAGTCATTGAAAACACAATTAGATAAGATTTGTGTTGCCCAAAAGAGGGTGGTTAGAGTTGTTTTTAATGCGAGCTATCGTGCTCATACTAATGCTTTGTTCTACAGTAAGCTCTTGAAGGTTGAAGACATTTACTTTATACAGTTAGGCGCAATTATGTATGGTTTTGAAAATGGTACTCTCCCAAATGCGTTAGTACAAATATTTCGAAAGAACAATCAAATTCATAGCTATAATACAAGGCAGGCAACTGCACTTCATATTCCACGTGTAACTGCTTTTGCTCTGAAGACGCTGGCTTGTACTGGTCCCAAATTTTGGAACTCACTTTCTATCAATGTAACTAGATCTGTCAGTGTCTTTGATTTTAAACGCAAATTGAAATTACATTTATTGAGTAACTATGTCGACAATTAACGTAAAAATTATATCACCAGAAATGATATTGGGTAATAATTTGTCAATTGTTATTGATAACGGGCATTATTTTTTTGTTTTTGTTATGTTTGATTATTCAATATAAATGTCAGCATTTCACATTCTCTCCCCCCCCCCCCCCATCCCCCCTCCTCTCTTCTATTTTTATTTTTCTTTACACCACATAACTTTCTTCTTTCTCTGTTTTTCTCCGTTTTGTTGTTTTTCTCGTTTTTCTCTCCAGTTTGCTTTTTCGCTCTCGATTCCTTTGAATATATTTTCATCCTCTCCTTTTCAAATTTCAAGCTATCCCTTTTGTAAATATTTCCCCCATATTTAATCATGTGTAGTTTTGATAACTTTGAAACATTTTTTAAAAGTGAAACATTGATGGATTATTTTATATGGGGACCTTGCTCTTACAAGCCCAGCTTTTCTAAGGTCTCCACTTTCTTTCATTTGGATTATATATCGACTTAAAATTGTACTTAAATTGTTTTTTCTTATGCTGTTTTTTGTTCTATTATTATATGTAAAAATGTTGTGAAAGAAAGAAATAAAATGAACCTTGAACCTTGAACCTTGTCCAGGGTATTGTGGCGAGATATCCAGGGTATTGTGGCGGGTTGTCTTGGGGCGGGTTGTCTTTGTGGCGAGTTGTCTGGAATTCGTATAAAAGTGTAGTAGATCTTGCGTAGTGCAGTGCTACAGGTTAGACATTGACTCTCTATGCTTTGCTGGAGTGACTACTAGGTCTACTACTACTTACTACTAGACCTCCTAGAAATCTAGTCTAGAATCTCTACGAATGCGTCTTGTCGATAAGGCATTATTCGAACAACAAATACCAAACCTCAACTTCAAGCCGATTCTGAATTCACCGCTTTAAAATGAATTTAACAGCAGAGTCTTTATTGAAATGGTATGTACCGGTAGTCTCAGGTCTAGAAAGTAGAATCTAAGTTAGAGTCTAGGGGTGGTATTCTGAACATTGTTGTAAGTTTTGTGTTATCTTTTGTTGTATCTTCCAGAGATAACACAGCGCTAATATTGTTGTAAGTTGGTATTCTGAACATTGTTTTATCCCTGTGTTATCTCTTGAAGGACCGCCTCTATCTTATCTTTGACCATTGATGACACGCCCATTTTTATGGACCCTACCAATCAAAATCTATTTTATATAAGCATGATAAGTAGATCAACCAATAGGAATACTTTATGCCATATCTGAAGATGCGCCTAGCGCATTCTAATCTTGGGCGTAATTAGTTATTTGAGCACTTATTACGCGCGTCATCATTATGCGCTGTTGAATGTGGATCATGAAGACAAATCACGCTTTCACTATATTGGTTAAGATGAGAGCATTAAAATAGTCCTATCCTAGCATGTAATATCTTAGAAAGTTCTCATCTGTGATGTTTCCGGTCAACACACAATCTTCTTCTAACTCGTCTATTGGCACGAAGTTGGTTCTGGGCAAAAAATATTGCCGCCATTATATCACCACGAAAGATACAACAACCCCCTACCTGTTGTAAATATTGTTGTAAATACCATGCAAGATAAGATAAGATAAAAGATACAACAACTTTCAGAATACCAATTATCTCGACATTATCTCCCGTGCGCATATATGCAAATGAGAATTAAATGCCACTTTATTAATAATACGCACAATTACAAGCGCACCAAAGTATGAGCGCAGGCGCGGCCAATAAGATGAGAGAAAAGATACAACAAAAGATAACACAAAAGTTACAACAATGTTCAGAATACCAACTTTATCTTATCTTCAAAGATACAACAATATTAGAGATAACACAGGGTTCAGAATACCGCCCTAGGTCTAGAGTCTAGTCTAGATCTAAGTTAGACTAATACACTTCGAACTATGCCTTGCCTGACATGGCAGATTACCCATCTCTTCGAGGATTTTATATACAACATGGAATTAAACGCTTAGAATACAGCGAGGCGTTAGACTGGACCATTTTCAAAATATTTTCTAATTATTTTTTTTAGCCTAGATCTAGACTAGATTTATTTTAGAGCTAGACTATAGTAGATCTAGTAGTAGGGCGTAGACTAGGCCTAGATCTATAAAGGAATGATAACTTCCTGTTTAAGTGCATGTGTAGAAAGATCAAAGCTGGAGGATTTCTTGTCCTTTTTGCTAGCCAGATATAGACATAAATAAATGACATGTGAAACCAGGCGCTGCTCATCGACTAAAAAGTTATGACGGAGATAAATGACGGTGTCGGAGACGTCATAACTGCAACACTAACAGTAATAGCAGAGCTACCAAGTATCAAGCATAGGCGTGACATCACGCATTTCGAGGGTCTGGAAATGCTCTTACGCACGACGTGCACGCTAGATTTTGAAAAAATGCTATAGATCTAGGTCTACCTTATACCCTAGAACACGCGCGCCGAATCATGAAAATGTCACGCATTGCCGATCTTTGAACTTGGCGTCTCTGTAATAGACAATAATAGTAAATTTCTTGGTACTTCTTCCCTATCCACTATTACTAGTCTACATTATATTCATTATTCATTTATATATTTGCATTCTTCATTTGCATATTCATTTTCCCAGCTCATGTTCCCTTTTCATTCACAATAGACCAGTTCGTAGTTGGCACATGGGTCATATGACCCCAAATATCCAGGGCTTAAATTAATCCAAGGCCACCTCTCTCTTGTATCCTTTCTCCGCTCAGGTCGGAGATTGTCGGCACTGTGAGTCTGCTGAAGTTACATAAATGGCTTTCTATAGGTCGTTAGGTAGATTTTGATGGGTTGTGTGAAGGTTGCATATAAAATAAAGGATAAGTGTATGCAGCTGTGTTTTGGCACTTCTGCTGATGTGTCCAGCAGGAAGAAAGAGCACTGACTGCAAGAACAGCACAGGCGCAGACTGGAAGTATTGAGCAAACTGCTTTGTGTTGAGGTTATCCTTAATAGTAATACGAGTAATAGGGTCTTGACGCACAGATGATAGGGCTGGGCAAGTGACACAAAGGCCATGGCCTTGGATGCCCCTTTGATTGGCCCCATGCCCCTCTCATCGGCCTTGGAGATTTTTTGTGCCCTTTCCAATTCTTCCTATTTGTGCGGTAATATAGGAATTTGCCCTAAAGAAAAGTGGCCTTGCCCTAAAAATATTGAAATTTAAGGCCTGAATATCCACATATCTTTTAAACATAGATTGATTCTTTGTTTGCCCTCTTGAAAAGATTACTTCCACCTGTGTTCAATAGAATGCATCACAGGTGCATGCATGAATAATGATTACATAACTTTCGTGAGTATGTATACAGTATTAGCCTCAATGGCCCGAATTCACAAAGGAGGTTTGTCGAAAAAAATTGGTTTTCGTGCGTCATATGATTTTACATACCAGGTTTTTTTTTAAAAATGTGTAAAAACACATCATATGACGTACGAAAACCAAGGTTTGTCGACAAACCTTCTTAGTGAATTTGGGCCAATGGGTTTTACAATTTTGTTCAAGTAACCTTTATCTATCCGCGCATGCTCAGATTGTATCTACGAACTGGTATATACTTACAGCACAGTCTTTCAGTTGCACTACTGCCACACCCTATTTTCCTTCATGCACCTTCCAACCCGTTTCCTTTGTTGTCTTCTCATTCTCTATGCATGATTGCCTTTTCCTGCCCTAGCTATAACATGCACTTTCTCTTCTCTCATTCATTCTCTTCTCTCATTCATTCTCTTCGCATCTCACCTTTGATCTACATGTATCTAGCCCGTTCAACTCATTGGTTTCATTGGTCACATGACTTTCCCAGAGACGCCAAGTTCAAAGATCAGCAATGCGTGACATTTGCATGATTTGGCGCGAGGATATAACACACGTATAACGTATAACACACGTATAAGGTGAGAGCATTTCCAGACCCTCGAAATGCGTGATACTTGGTAGCTCTGCTTTCCCTTGATTGGTTTATTTTGTTATGATGCCTGATTTGTACTTTGGGATATTAAAGTTAGTTCTGTTCCGTCCTTCTCGAGTGAGGTTATCATTATCTACTGTCCTGACTCCTGACCAACTTGATTTTGAAGCAGCATGATGTTTGATGATTGATTTCCCTGGGTTAATAAACACTGTGATGGAATATGGACTCAAAGGATTTATGTGAGTTTTAGCTTAAACACGTTGTTGCAATTCAATGATGAAACAAAGGAGACATCCGTTTAACTCATGTTGGTTCCTTTATTGTGACGCCGTCATGGATCATCATTAGAAAGTGAAGAGATTCAACAACTGTGTGGGATAATTCCTGCAAAAATACAACAAATGAAAACACTAAATACCGGTACATGTTCTTGCAATATGTCTAACACTTAGGAATCCAATTTCCACATATACTCGAGTTCCATTCTTGTGTCAGTAAATCTAAATTTTATAGTTATAATAATACGCCAACTTTTGATAAACCACAAATCTTTAAAGAAGCATAAATGCCTAACCATAGACAAAAGAATAATCAATAACACAAACAAGAAACTTTCTCCAAGCCCTAAAACGAGACTAAAAATCATGGACTTATCACCTTATCTCTAAGATGATATTGATCCGCGCATTAAATCGTGCCTGAAGAGGTTCTCGTAACTAAGATACCTTCACACGTACATACGCAAGTAAACATAGTTTGGTCTTAACTTATTCTAAGTTTACCCATGCTCATAACTAAGTTAAATTCACATATCATCTTCCTGACAACCATAAATTTTAAACTACTTTATTTTTTCACAGAAGAAAAGGTCTTCGAAAGACAGTCTAAACTATCAATCAAACTTTCAACGAATCCATGTTCGCGATTCGTTTCACGTCACTACACACATTCATATAGGCTATCGCTTCCATAGTGCGAATGTAATCTCTATAACTTGAAACTACTTCCACTAGTGGCATTTTACAGCACTCTATAATAAGAGATATAACTCAATGAATAAACATACCTTAAGGATTATCTAAAGAGTTCCCATTTCAACATAGAAATGCTGGAACTGCAAGCATTAGCAAACTGCTAAACTGTTGGCGACTGTCGTCACTGTAAGCGAACTGCTATTACGTAGATAACAACTATCGTCTTCCCCTTATTCCCCGAACTATTTCTTCTAGTCTCGTCACAAGTATTAAACATAACTTTCAGAACAAGAAAAGAGTCATTCCATGACAAACACGTTACACTACTTAGTCAGAATGTTGTCGTTGATCTTGGCAAAGAGGGCTTCGTGAAACACGTAGCAGACAAGTAGCTCACTAACGCTGATTTAGTCGAAAAGTTAGACTTATGACGGTTTTAAGGAACGGGCCTTAATTAGGTCGACTAATGTTGTTGTTGTTGAATTTAATCGCGTTTTCCATCGATGTTGGATGATTTTCGCCAGGCAATGTGAGAGGGCGTAGTTAAATGTTTCTCTTTTGGTATTCTTGCTCTAGCTGTTGGATCGACGCTACAGCCTGTGGTGTTGCAAAATTTGCATTGTGTTTATGAAATTAATAATGTCAGTAAATTTTTAGTAGACCCTATTTTTTTTCTGTATTGTTATATGCAGCTTAATTTTAAAGAATTAATTAAGAAGGAAAGGATGAAGACTTGAAGAATTAAGTGGTTGAATATTAGTTGCCGGATCCTGATCCAGGGGGGGGGGCCCAACTTTGAAATTTGACACTGGCAGGACACAAATTGGTGGGGGGTTCAGGGGGCAGAGCCCCCAGAAGCTCAGGGGTTATAGGCATTTAATTACAGCCAGATGAGCATATTTTGATACCTTATTTGTGACAGGGGCAAGAAATAAATTGGTGTGGGGTCCAGAGGGCAGGGTCCAGGGGGCAGAGCCCCCAGAAGCTCGGGGGTTTTATACATTAAATCACCGT